ATCAAAATCTTTAGAATAATAAACAATATTTTACCCATTTCCGACATTTACAATTCTGAATTTTCCTCCATTTAAATCCTGTAGTTTCCATTGTTGTGAAGTGGAACCGGAGGGTTTTTGAATTTTGACATAAATCTCTTTAGCATCTAAGACCAACCCGGATTTGACATTTTTTATAATAATATGTTTTTCAACAGAATTAGACATTTTGGTTTGTAGTTATTACTTGCACAGTCGTAAGCTGTATAACAAGTAATAGCTAGTTGACGCTTATATAGTTATTTTTGATCTTAATCAAATGTTTTTAGGTTTTTTGAGTGAATAGATGATTACACTATTTTAGCTAGTTAATTCTTATCTTGCAATCGATTAGTTCAATTTCCAAAAATTAAAATAAAACAAAGAATAATAAAAATAATGACATTGAGTAAGAGTTCTTGATTTGATAAGTACCTACACTCAAGTACTCAAAAAATTATTAAGAATAGTTTCATGTCATTAACCGATACACAAATTAAAAGTTCGTGTGTTTGCAACATTTGCTTAGCCCTAAGCACAACGCAACAGATTAATTATTATTTAACAAAAAAAATTTTTTTTTAAGTTCTTAGATCACCATTGTAACACTTACCTTACAAGCGTACATTACAAGCGCGGTGGTAAATATAGCATTATCCCGAGTGCTTATGTATACGATCAAAAGTCGCAAGCCTCGAGATCGGATAAAGCACAAGGGGTAATGCAATTACCACCGAGGTTTGTATGCTATTTTATTAACAATCACATTATTTTCAGTAAAAAATTTGAATAATAGTTATTTATTGTAAGAGTGTGTTAGGTAGCGTTTTATCCACGCAAGAATGTTTATTCACAATCACACGCCCAAATTATTTCAAACTTAATTAAAATTAAACTGACATTTAAACGTCACGCCAAATGTGCTTTCGGTTAAACGTAGTAAGTTGTTACGCGGTGCGGTGGTTACTAACAGTGGAATAAAGTTACTTTATTCCACTAGTGGATAAAGTGGTACTTTATACGCATCTAAGGTGTGGAATAAAGTCTCTTTATAGAGTGATTGTGGATAAAATAAAATTGTAACAAAGTTAAGGTCCAAACGTGGTAGACCATCCAAATGGCGTTTGATTTTTGACATTTCATAAATGTCAAAGAAAATATTGAAATAATGTATGAATCTGATTTAAAATCGTCAAAGAAGTAAGAGAAACTGCTACAAAAGCAATTGAATACTAATTTTGCAAAATATTATGCGTAACTTGCGGTGTTTGTCAGTTCCCGCACGCCAGCGGGGGGATTCGAAAATCTATATGGTCAGTTCTACCACGGGTTGAAAAATTTGGAATTAAAGGATTAAAGTGCAATGTTGACAATAAAATCATGAGTGGTATTTTTATTATTTATTGTGAACACTTCGACAGGGTGATTAAACAGTGTTGGACCAACTCTCGAATGATGATAATTTTGAGTTGATAGCAACTAAACATAAAAATAAATTTAGATTTTCTTTTCAAGTTTTTTTTTTAGGAAAACAGAACTGTTAATTTCCATATTGTCATGTAGTCATCTTAGTTCTTTTATTTTCAATGCTGGAGGATTAAATTTATTGTTGAATTTGCTAGTTTGTTAAATGTCTTGTACACCAAAATACAAAAATTGGTGATTTTTTCAGTGTTGCAAGATCTGCCGTTTCCGCTAACTAAATTCAAGTTACATGATCTGAACGGCCAAAAACATACCAGAAAGTGTAAGATTTGAAGAGCTATATTTCGTGAAAAAAGGCTTAAACAATTTTTTGTCATGATAACTTTTAACTCAGTTGGATGTCCTTTATCACTACCCAAGGGATGGATCGACACTTTCAAATCATCCTGTATAAGTATAATACATATATTGTGCCAGTCTAACAAGACTGGTGCGTGAGTTTAACTTAAGTAATGAAAAAAAAAGATGAATGATGAGAGAAAAAATTATTAGTAGCGTGGATTTTTCTCTCGTGGTTGTGGGTATCTTATTGGGCTCCGCCGATCTTCTGTCGGATAAGATCGCTTAACTTTGAGGGCGATTCGCTGACGTAATCCTGTGGATCACACACGAAATGAAACTCAGGTTTCAGCGAAACCAGCCCGTTTATTAACGAATTTGATACAAATAAAAAGAAAAGAAATAACGAAAAAAAGAACTTTGAAACACAAAAAATAAATTGATTAAAAATTGAGTCTGAAGCTACATGAATCTCGCAGAATGATTTCGTCACTAAGACTACTCGACTTCGGAATCAAACAAGAACTGACTAAGTCACGAAATAAAGCCGTTCAACTTTGATCTAAAAAGTATTGTAACGTCTTTGAAAGTTATGAAATTATGGCTTAGGGCGTTTTTTATAATCCAGCCTACATAGAATTTAAAAACAAATTCTCAAAAAAAGATATTATTTATTTCAAAATAAAAAGTCATTTCGTGTAAGAACTAGTGGAAGGTGCAAATATGTAAAATATAATGTATGTACAGTTAGCTACAAAATTAAAAAAAAAAACTGTACTAATGTTTGTACATTTTGATGTCATTGAACCCTGCATTTCCTCTTAATTTATCGCAAAATAAAATCAATCTCCTTAAACAATAAAAATTAATTAAGTACACAAACTGCATGTAAACCAGTAAAGATATATTTTTATCAAAATTATCAGATCTGGCCCAATCTTAATTTTTGGCAATTTGTAAAAAAATTAGATAAACAACAACTATATAAGCTTTAGCTTCATGTCACATCTACATACTGTATTCAATAGTTTGTTTACAACTAACAAAAATGTCTAATTCTTCTGGTAATACCCTTATTATTAGAAATACCAAGTCTGGGTTTGTACTAGATGCAAAAGAACTCAACGTGAAAATTCAAAAATATACCGGTGCTACTTCACAACTATGGAAACTGGAGCCTTCTGATACAGGAAAATACAATATTGTAAATGTCGGGAATGGGTAAGATACATGATTTTTCTGTATAACATTTTTGTTTATTGTTTTTACTTTGATTTTTTTACAGCAAAGTTTTGGATATAATGGGCGGAGCTCAGGTTAATGATGATGTGATAACTTATTATCTAAACAAACCACCAAGCCCAAATCAAAAGTGGTACATCAATGCAGATGGCACAATCGAGTCTTCTGTTAAAAATTTGGTTTTGGACATCTACAGCGGCAATTTAGTTATTGGACAAAAAATCATCGCTTATTACAAAACCGGGACTCCAAACCAAATATTTCAGTTGCAAGATGTTTAAAGACAACTTTAATCTTTAACATGTATAAATGTGTTTTACATTTTGAAATAAAACCGCACTTTTATCAATATTATGTCTGCATTTTCATTTAATTGTTCCAAAAAAAAAACTCAAAGATTTAAATATTTTTCATAAAACAGTTTCTGGATAGCATAACTGTTTAAATTAAACGCCACTAATATGCATATAATTTGTATAATAAAAACTATTTGGCAAATGCTTTTATCTAACTTATTCTCGAAGTTGTTAATTAAAAATTAAAAAACAAGTGTTGCTAACACTTAAGCAAAGCTTAGAAAAAAAAACATTTAATTTTTCTCAAAAAAGGCTTTTTATTCTCAAGCACAAGATTGGAAAGGAAAAATAAATCTTGAGGTGTTCAAATGTGAGTGACTAATAAAAATAATTTTGCCAAAATATTTTTACATGTGAAATATGTAAATAAAAGTACGAATTTAAAAGGTGCAAATGTATAAAATAGTGTACCTGCCGTAAACTACAAAGTAAAAAAAAATGTACTAGTTTAGTTAATCTTGCATTTCCTTCTAATTTATCGCAAGATAAAATCAATTTATTTTATCGGACATGCACAAAAATAGTCTGGTAACTATGACATAACCTTATTGATAGCTGTAAAATTTTACAATATTGAAATGTCAATTTTAAAATATCGATATGTCATTTTTACTGACATATCGATATTAAAAAATTGTAAACTCGCTCGGATTTCAAACTGACACCTGCAGCTGTCATTACATCCTAGAATTTTTGGATTTAATTTGTTCCAATTTTTGGCTTATTCGACAGAAACCGATAAATTTATTTAAACAATAGGAAATTATTCACACTGCATGTAAACTATTAGTGACACATTTTTATCAAAACTATCAGATAGGTCCCAATTTGACTTTTTAGCAATTCACATAAAAAAATAAGTTAAAAACCAACCATTTAAGCTTCAACTTTACTTCATTATGTTTAACTCTCTGATTGATATTTTCCTTTTAAAGTAATATTTTTTTAACAAGGTTACGTTTCGCTTACCTCCGTCTGCGACGCAGTATTGGCCCTTCGGGCCATTTTATATTGAGGCCCTGTCTGTCCCCGTTATGTAATTATTGTTTGTTGCTTTTCAAATTGCTTAGCTCTTTACGGGAATTGATGTGAATCGATCGTTAATTTGCATTTATTCGATGAGAAAAGGCGAAAAGAAAATTTTTTTCTTTAATAGTCAATCTAATCTAATTTTTCAGTTGAGTGGGGCTCACGGGGGCTGCGTCTCCGATGGAGCTTACGGGGGCTGCGCACCTGATGGGGCTCACTCGATTCAAAATTAACGCGTCACGGCACCCACTCTAACTCTAATCGGTCTCCCATGCGATGCTGTGTTGGTTTGAGGTGTGTAATATGCGGTCATAACCTCACTTTTCCCGAATTTTAGTGATAACAGGCGTTTCCGTCAGCCGATCGGCTCCAAAATCAGTAGGGTTCTTAAGACGGCCGAGGGGCACCTATTGGCCAAATTTCATCGAAAAAGAATGATTCTGTGAAGTTATTGCGGTTCGCAGAAATACCGGATAGACAGACAGACAGACAGACAGACAAAAATTTCACTTTTTTTTCGACATAGAATCGATTGGTACAAGTTTCAAGTTTAAATCACACAGATTTTTAGAAATGAATAAAATCACAATATTAATTAAAATGCAATTTTATTTCATTGCAATTGACACATCTGAAAGCACATTAAAATACTTATTATTTTTTAACAGTTTCCAAGCTAAATATTTGATTTTGTTTTCCGGTCTTCGGGTATGCAATGACGTAATTTCCAGGAATCAAGTCTTCTTCTTCGATGTCCAAAACCAAATTTTGAACAGGGCACTCCACTGTGCCATCTGCATTGATGAACCATTCTTGATTAGTGGATGGTGGGTTTTTGATGGGCCAAGTTATAATATTAGCGATGTGGGCTCCATCTTTTATATCCATAGCTTTGCTATAAATAAATACAAACAATAATCAAAATTTTTAAAATAATAAACAATATTTTACCCATTTCCGACATTTATAATCCTGAATTTTCCTCCATCTAAATCCTGTAGTGTCCAATGTTGTAAAGTAGAACTGGAATAATTTTGAATTTTGACATAAAACTCTGTAGCATCTAGGACCAACCCAGATTTGACATTTTTAATAATATATTTTTCAGCAGAATTAGACATTTTGGTTTGTAGTTATCACTTACTTGCACAGTCGTAAACTGTATAACTGTATATGTTTTAGGTAGTTGACGGTTATATAGTTATATTTTATCTTAATATTTTTTTTTATTGCCAAAATTTCAATCTTTGGTTTTACTAATCTGACGGAAAAATTGATAAAACTAATTAAGTGTTTTAAGTTCTTTGTGTGAATAGATGATGACTAAATAAGTGCACTCAAGTACTCAAAAAATTAATAAGAATAGTTATTAACTTTAACTGATATACAAATTGAAACAAAAAAATAAACTTTTGGACTAACATATTGTTTCTTTTTAGAAACAACAAAAATTTCCGAAATGGAATTTCAAAAGACAAACTATGCAACTGCATTTTATGAGCTCAAATACGTCGTAAAAATAAAGTGCATAAAAAAAGAATATGTGATCTAACCAGACCCTATACTGATAAATTTAAGGCTGAAAATATCAATAAAAATTAAGTCTTCTTATGTTAAAACTATGACAAAAGTCTAAATTCTCTCCCTTGGGCGAGAAATGAGCATAACGACGGGAGCAAATATTAAAATTACTCCCAACAAACATTTTTATTGTTGCCATGGTGTGATTTCAAAAAATACTGGTTTTAGGCTAATTTCTAAATTTTGTTAAAGAGTTACAGCCAATTTCTTAGGTTTTATAACGCAAGTTGTGCAAAAAATAGTATAATATATACCACTAGAGAAAATTGCTATTATTTTTTTGGTGCTTTATAAATTGCATCTCAAGAATAATGCTGCATTTTTTATGTGTAAGATACTATTTTATGCTAGTTTTTAGAAAATAATTAATATTATTTGCCAAAATGTGTATCTTCCACTTATGAAATTTCTATTTTTTTTTACTTTGCAACAATTAGGAAGATTTCGACAACGAACTAAAACAATAAGGAAGCAAACACATAATTTACTAATTTTGCAAAGTATTTTTATATGTTAAATATGCAAATAGTTTATTTATTTTATAAAGAAATTAATTATAAAGAAAAACGAAATAGAATACCAAAAATTAATTATAAGATTTTGAATAAGAAATGAAAAGAAAATATACTTCAAACTATAAATTCATTATGAGATGGAACCAGTACAAAGTGCAAATACAGGATGCGCCAGAACTCGCGCCCCAGAGAAAAATGCCATGTAAAGTAAGATACCATGGAAAAATGTTTAAAAAATTCTATCTATAAAATTTTCAAACTTATGAAAGTTTAAAATGTTTAAATTTTGCACTTTGACTTTATTTATTTTTCTTGGAAAAATAGTTTTCCAAGTTTTTTTGCTACAGGCTATTAGAAAAGGATACAAGGAAGCTGTTGTATCCTAAATTGTAACACTGTTTGATGTTATTTGTGGCTTTTATTAGCAAAATTTTTGTACTTTTACTAAATAATTATAAATAAACATACACAAGATCATCAGTATTATTAAATAGACAAAAAAATGTCAAATATCAAAAAATAAATGTCAACACTTTTTGCCACATTTTTAAACATTTTTTTCTTGTTTTTGATATCTTATCTTACTTGAAATTTTTCTATTTTTTAATGTTTGTACTTTTTGGTATTGCAATTTCTCTAAATTTATCGCAAGATAAAATCAGTTTACTTAAACAATGAAAAATTAAACAATAAATAATACATTTTTATCAGATTCTCAATTTTACTTTTTGGCAATTTGTAAAAAAACAAGATAAAAAACGACTATATAAGCTTCAGCTTCATGTCTCATCGTACATACTGTATTGTATTTAATAGTGTGTTTACAACTAACAAAAATGCCTAATTCTTCTGGTAATACCCTTATTATTAGAAATACCGAGTCTGGTTTCGTACTAGATGCAAAAGAATTCAACGTAAAAATTCAAAAATACACCGGTGCTACGTCACAACAATGGAAACTGGAGCCTTCTGATAAAGGAAAATTCATAATTGTAAACGTCGGGAATAAGTAAGACAGTACATGATTTTTCGGTATAACATATTTGTTTATTGCTTTTTCTTTGATTTTTTAACAGAAAAGTTTTGGATATAAAGGACGCAGCTCAGGTTAATGATGATGTAATAACTTATCCTCAAAACAGCCCACTAAGCCCAAATCAACAATGGTACATCAATGCAGATGGCACAATCGAGTCTTCTGTTAAAAATTTGGTTTTGGACATCTACAGCGGCAATTTAGTTGTTGGACAAAAACTCATCGCTTATTACAAGACCGGGACACCAAACCAAATATATCAGTTGCAAGATGTTTAAAGACTTTGTATAAAATATTACATTTTATTATTAAATAAAACCGCATTTTAATCAATATTATGTCTGCATTTTTATTTAATTTTTACAAAGAAAACTTAACGATTCCAATATTCTTAATGAAACAGTTTAATAGTTTCTGGATAGCATAATTGTTTAAACTAAACGCCACTGCGAAGTTTAATATGCACGTGGAGCTTGAGATGCAGTTGAAATTTATTCCTTGTTAAATTAATACTGTTGTTGAGCAACTCAGGTTATGAGCAGGTTCTACAGAATTACCTTAGTTTGTCTAAACTCACACACAAACACAACAGTGATTCAAAATTTTCATAAGTTGGATAATGAAAACTACTCGGCAAATCCTTTTATGTTACTTATTCTTGAAAATGTTAATTAAATATTAAAAAAACAAGTGATGCTAACACTTGAGCAAAACTGAATTTCTTTATACAAAAACTTTTTTCCACTTTTTGTTCATTTCTCAATAAAAATAAGACATAATTTCACTTACCTTAACTTACATAATGTATATCCTGCAAAAAAACATTTTTTTTATTTTGACTAAAATAGTCAAATAAATAAACAAAGACAAATAAAACACTAATATTAATAAAAACAACCTTTTTTTTCCTCTTCTTTTGTAGCAAATCCCTTTTATTGTTGCACGTTAAATGTGAAGGGCTTGTTACAGAGTGTAAAATAAATTAGAGGTACTGCTGCAGTGCGACGAGGTAATTATGTGGCACTAAAACTGTTTATGAGAAGGTCAGCACCACACAACGAAGGGATTCTAGGGTTTTGTGCAATAAAACTCCGGGTTAAGAATTACAATAAACAAGATTCTTGAAAATCTTTTTAATAAACAATATATTACAACGAAAAACATCGACATTTTATACACAAGTATTTACAGTAATTATTACCGATCAATAGTTGACATTGTTTATTGACTACACTATCAAACAGTGAGAGGCACTGACCTTAATTTTATTATTTCGGATTTTAAACCTAATTCGTCGTTTAGGTCGTATACATAATTTTTTTCTACAATGTGGAATATTTATTTTATTTGACGAGTCAGTGTCGAGAGTGAATGCTTTAAGCAACTTTACGACTGTAGCTTACACAAGTACACAGCACATTTAGTCGCAACAACAAAGAAAAAACATTTTCAGGAATTGTAAAGTCAAAAATTGCACATTCTATGACACATCAAAAAACAGCTTTTTAATTAGTCAGTAAACACTTAAGATAAACATTATTTTTGCAAAAATATATTTTCAGTTTTTATTACAGTTAAAAAAATCGAAAACTCTATTGATTTTCACAGTACTGTTGTGTTAATTATTTATTTCACTTTTTCCTAAAAAGATTTGTTATAATTTTTTCAAAATATGTTGTAAATGTAAGAGAAATTCCAATTTTTTTAGCGCATTCAAAATATTTTAATAGTTTTTTTGTAAAACAATAAACATGGAAACATAAAAAAATATAATATTTAATAAAACAGTAAAGGAAAGTCTTTAAAAAAAATTTTTATTTACTTATTCCAATCTTTTGAATCAATCAATTTGTAATAGAAACTTAAACGGAATGAATCTAATAAAATATCAATTAGAAGATTTCTCAATTAGAGAATTAATTAGATTAACTTTTACATCAAAAATATCAAATAAAAAAAAATTAAACAAGTATTTCTTAAAACTCACAGAACGTGCAAAATTTGTTAAAAAAACGGGATTTGAAATAAACACAGTTGATCAGCACTCGAAACACCTTAATTTAAATTTCAGCAGCCTGAAACACTTAAACTTAACCCCTCTTCAGAAAATACTTTAGTCGTAAAGTATAACGAAAGAAGCAACACTGACGCTGTGACTTATGCGCATAATCCATACTGAATATTTCATGACAACTCTGTATATGTAAAAGGGCGATTCGTTATGTACAAGCTGATATGGACTCGAGTAATCTACCAAACGTGTTGGCAGTGTTAAAAAACGAAAACTCGTCGGGCGATCAATAATTTATTCAATTTGTTATGATACAGGACACGCAATAATTTTGTTACAAGTGCTTAAACAAAACGGGACCCTTGAGGATATTTTTGGTTACATACTACACGAAATTTAGCAAATGTAGCTATCCTGTGTCGATAATAAATTGCTTTTGCTGTTACGTTTCACCTCCGAATGGGTATTGAATTGTCCCTTTGAGTCGTGGATGAGGTGGCAACTTTTTCAACTTAAAAAAATTTCTAAAATGTGAGCATAGTATACTACAAATAGTTATTTGTAACTATAACTCAATGTGGGTGATTCACCCACCAGTACACTTAATCTAGTTTGCGGTTTCGATTGCTCGGGTTTAATTATATTGTGATTTAATTGGTTGCAATTGTAATTAACTGGACTGAATGCGTGGGTTTTTATTTAACAATGGGATTTTGTTCTATGTTTTCTTAATTAGGAAAAAATAATGGTAAAAAACCTAAATTCATTGTTAGTTTTTGTGTTGTAAAAAGCTCAGTTTCATTTAACCCGGCGCATCCACCATTTTTACAAGTTCTAAATTAAATTAAAAATAATATCTTATTTTTTAGATAAATCTAAGAAACCTTTTAGTAAAAATACTGATATGTTAGAGTGATGTAAGTTTTATTTGCCAACAAAGAATTTTAAAATTAGAGTTTGCTCTGTGCTTTTAAACAGCGGTTGCCTAACCCGGCGCATCCACCATTTTTACAGATTATTCTACATTGTAATAAACTGTTTAAATAAAAATAGTATTTTAAAATAGTATTTTATTTTTAAGAAATTTTTGAAACAAATATTAATATATGTATTATACAGCATATACTCTTAATAATATTTTCATTTAGGCGGACTTAATGGTTTATGGCTATATACCAATTTTCAAATGAATACGATTATTCGAACTCCCAATACTTCTAATGTGGGGTTTAGATGGAATACCCTGTATTTGCATACATTTAAAGCATTCTAAAAATTGCAAAATTTTTATTTTTAACCAATAACGATTAAATACAGCGAAAATTCTGCACTAGTGTAAATTGTCGACAATTTGGACTAGTGCAGTATTTTCGCTGCAATTTCCGTATAAAAATTTAAAGAAAAAACAATTTTTGAACATGCAATTTAGGTAAATTATATCATTTCAATTTTTTTAAAAAACAGTCTGCCAAATTGTTTTAATTCTGTCTCGTGCATTCTGTGTACTCGATAAAAATTGTCGACAATTTGGCATGCATTGGCGATATTTATTATTTGCATCAAATTGCGTTTTTAGATGGTGTTGTTTTTATTAAAATTTATTCATTAGCACCATACAGGGTGATTCTTAAATATACCGACAAAATTTTATTACTGGTAGTACCTATCATCAAATGAGTACATGCTGGAAAAAATATTACAAAAAGTTTTTGTTTAACCGTTCTCCAAATAAGATTTATTAAAGTTATTTGCGAGGTAAAGCGTACGCCACTGATGTGCTTGTAAGTAGTATTAGCACAGGTAGTGGAAACCATGATATTAATTTGATGAAAATGTACAGTGGCGGTCATAGAAAAGTAATACACGGGATTTTGACTAATCCTCTCAAAATTTAAAAAATTACATAATGTAATTTTTTCGTCGTGATTGTCAGTGTCACTGAAAACGTCACTTTTGACAAATCAGTGGTGGACGCCAAATCTGGACTTAAAGCAAAGAAGAAGATTCTAGTGACATTTTAAACATGACAGTGATTGTCAGTTTCAAGGGAAAATTTACAACGCCAAATTTTTTTTATTTGTGAAGTGTATTACTTTTTAATGGCCGCGACTGTACTTGATCATTGCAACAATTCATAAACGCCGGAAGTGGCACGGATCAAGGCGGTTTTGCCCTAAAAGATATAGGTAAACGTAAAAAAGGTACAGTTTGTCTCGATTTATCCTTGGGAAGCAGTGATAAAATTTTGTCGTCTATTTAAGAAGCACCCTGTATATAGAGTTGCAGGCAGAAATTAGCTGAGAAATCTTAAATATAATCTGTAAACTCGAACTTTAACCTCAACAGTATTCAAAATGATGCTTGATTTTGGATAATTTTCAACGGTTTTCTCATGTGCCTAATTTCTGATGGTCTATAGATTTTTAGGGCGCATAAAAATTGATGATTTTAGGTCTTTTTTGATTGTTTACTTTTGGGGAAACAGGTAAATTTGTAAAATTCCAAATGTACTTGTACCAAACCTCCTTGATTTGGTGTTGTTTTTCCCTTTTTTTGCATGCGCCAAATGGCTTGGTTTTTGCCATTTTGGGGTGTTTGAACAAGGTATTTTGTTAGTTTTTTTAGGGTGTTCTTGAGGTAATTTTGCATTATTTTGAGAAATTTCAACAGTTTTTTTGTGTGCCCAATTTTTGGTGTTCTACAGATATTTGGGTACTTTTAGGGTGTAGAAACATTAATGCTTTTTGAAGGGTTTTAGGCCTTTTTCGGTTGTTTATTTTTGAGAAAACAGCTAAAATTTGTAAGATTCTGCCTTGTTTTTTTAACATGCCAAATGTCCTGGTCCAGAAGTAAAAATCCATTTTGGGGTGTTTAAAAACAAGGCATATTTAAGTTTACTAGATCTTTTTCGGTTGTTTACTTTTGGAAAAACGGCTAAATTTGAAGGATTCTAAATTTTTGGTGGTCTACAGATATTTGGATACTTTTGCGGTGCATAAAAAATAATGATTTTTGTCAGGTTTTAGGCCTTTTTCGGTTGTTTGCTTTTGGGCAAATAGCTAAATTTGTAGGATTTTGATTTGTTTTTTAAGACGCCACATGCCCTGGTCCAGAAGTAATATTTCACATACTACTTTTTTTAAACAGAGGTTGCATCTTAGCCCGGCGCATCCACACATTGTTCAACAATTAAAAAAAAAACTAAAATAGAAATATTCATTTATTTTTAAGATAAAACACGTTTCACTGATGTATATAATAGAAAGCAAGCAAAACAAAACAAAAATCAGTCAAAAAACTTTCAAGTTCAACGATTGTCCCACAGAAAAAAGTAAAAAATTCAATAAATTATTGATTGCTCCAATTCGATGTTTGTTAGCACGCAATGATTTACCCTTGACGTTGAAACTAGCCTCTACACAAAGATGATATTTCTTCACTGGCGAGTAAAAACTGTACATAAATTTCCCTAATATCAAACTTGACTAAATTCGTGTTTATATTTTCAGCTAAAGTTGCCGAAAATGGCAAAAAACGAACAGAAAAGAATCGATATTTGCGGCTTCATTTTACAGCACATACTTGTTGAGTCTTTGGAAGCTTCTAAATTACCCCTAGTGACTTCCTCCTGACACCGTCCTATAGAGTCAATATCTATATCACTCATGGGTCTGCCATTAACCTCCAACGGCGATATGCAATAATTCTTCGATATAAACTCGAGTAAACTACCATTTGCTAAAGGTCCTTCTAACAGGGTGTGGATGTGACAATCACAAGGAAAATGATTTGCTATCACAGTCAACTTATCGACACCGATATTGAGAGTCTCGGCTCGAGGAATTTCCAAAATGTGGTTGCCTTGGAGCTTTAAGTAGCTGATTCGTTGCTCTTGCGTCAGATTCAGTTCTTGAATACCTAATTTAACCATCAATCAGTGCATTAGCGGCCACATTCTATGTGCACTTTTTATTGATATAAAAATGTTATTTTTTTTAATTGTTATAATGAAACAACATGGTAATTTTTGTGAGTCAAAAAATAATTGAAATCTGGTTTATAGTTTTTAAAAAAATAAAGCTACAAAACAAAAAAAAATTGCAAAGATGAATAAAACTAGTTTTTGCTTTTTTGACTAGTGGATAAAAAATCAAAAATCACTCCAATATCTAGTAATACTTGAAAGTTTGTATTTAAAAAAAAATCATACACCGCAACGTCTTACAAAATTTAGATCTTTATTTTTTATTTAAAATGAACTAAAACGTCTAAAAGTTTTCTAATAAAAATCTCCAATTTAAACTCAATTGAAACTGATTTCAGAGTTAATTTAAAAAGTAAAAAATTTCTTAACTGTCAAAAATCATTATTATTAAAGTGCACATAAAACATGAAAAATAAGTCAAACATATTTCAAAATGATGTGTCACATCACCAACTTTATCGTATGCTTAAATTTTTAGTGTAGTTCTCTGAGTTAGCCCACTTCTAAAATCGCAAATTAAAATTACAATAATTTTTTGCTAAATTTGCAAAAAAAAAGTTTTCTCCGTACCAAATTTGTATATTAGATTAATAACAAATTTTCTATTTTAGCTAAAATTTTTAAAATAAATTAAAGTTTTGATAGAAGTTGTCGGTATAAAATGAGAGTTGGAAGTGATCGATTTCAAATTACAATCTGTTTTAAAAGCATTTTTGTTATTCTGAAATTGTAATAAATAAAGCTAAAATTGGAAATAAAACATTGTTTTGTATAGGGTGTCCCAGGAATAGTAATGAGCCTGAATTTTTTTTTGTAGCAACCAACATTACCTTTCAAGGATAACGTGGATATAAAAATATTTGGTTTTAATAAATTAAACTTAGTAACCAGACAGCACTTCAACTTTATTTATAAAAAATTAAACCTTGGAAAATTAGGTGAGAATTACTAAAATGTTCACGAAAAGACCAATAAGATTCTCCTTTATGGAGAATGTTTAAAAAACGCTTCACAGATTGCACGTTTCTATCCAACGCGATATCCAAATAGACGGGCTTTATAAAATTAGAGTAAAGTCATTTTGATTGACAGAAATTTGTCAAAAATAAAAATACGATTACTGTGTTTAACTAATTAAAACGAAGATGGGACAGTGATAGCGCAGAGCGCCACCTGTCGCTATCACTGTCCCATCTTCACCGGCGTAGTCGCTTTAAGACTCCCGAGGCCACATCACACATCGAGCTACACTGCACTGATGAGCCCCAAAAGGGCGAAACCGGTCTGCAGTTTGCTCGATGTATGATGTTGTGCCTCTTTTTTCACATAATTAAAACGAAATATTTTAATATCCGCGTTATCTTTGAAATGGTAACCAAATTGACTTTTTCGTCCGGAAAAACTATATTTTGGGTACTGAGTACCTAGAATAACCATTTTACGTACTATTTCATTGAGTCCGAAAAAAACTCATTTTAGAAACTTAAGTGAGTCCCTAAAACAGCTGTCTTTGAGAGAGAGAGAGAGCGTATACAAAAAGTATTTTTAGAGTTTATTTTAATAAAGAAATAATTGAAATAACAAATTTAATAAAAATATCAGCAAAAGAAAAACAAAACAGTCAATTCAAGAACTGTTTATGCTATAGTTTGAGACATTGCAGCTCCATAAGAGTTTGTTACATCGCAGAGAGCTGTTTTATAACACTAATTTGAAATAAATCAACTTTTTAGTTGATTTTTGATTTGATTTTTACTTTAAAAAAATTAATTCAATATTAAAAACTTTAGGAGAATATAGAAATACAAGAAAAATCTATATATACAGGATGAGTCAGAACTCGCGCCCCAGAGAAAAATGTCATTTAATGCAATATACCAGGAACCTGGAAAAAATGTTAAAAAATTCTATCTATAAAAATTTAGAAGTTATGAGAATTTAAATTTTGCACTTTGACTTTATTTATTTCAGTTGGAAGAATAAATTTTCGAGTTTTTTTGCTACAGGCTATTAGAAGAGAAAACCCGGAAGCTGTGTCCTAAAAATTTAAAGGTTATTTGACGTTTTTTTTTAAATGAGACAAATTCAGAATGCTTACAACTTATTTTTGACAAATTAATAAAAGAGAGGGTTTTGAAAATGGGCTACTCACCCCTCATGAGGCTCGTCAAGACTGTTTAACAATAAAATAAAGCTATAAAAGTACTTTTTGAAAACAATTTAGTATAGCAAAAAATTGATAAAACTTGAAAGCAATTTACGTCAAGGCGTCAGCCGAGACGCTAATATGCTCGAAAAGATAATGAAAATAATATTGTCGTGTACAATATAAAATTTTATTCAATCCTCACTAATTTTGTAGCCAATTTGGTCAATATTTATAAATGTCAAAGTAAAATTCAACAATGAAATCCAATGTCAAAGATCGTTAGCAACTAACAACCGCAGATATACAACAATGGATGTATTTTTTATTATCTAGACGATAAAATTTCATTTTAACATGAAGAAAAGATTAGATAAAATTCAATTTTAACATAGAGGATTAAATAAAAAAAACTTAATAGTTTTTAACTAAAATTCCAAAATTGTGGACCAATATCTGTATTTTGACTAGACACACCATTTTGAAATCCACAGACATTTTGATTGTACTAACCGTCAATTTTATTATTCAAAATATAGAAATTATGGATAAAAGTCAACCCGTCGAAAGCGTCTCTTTCAATTATTCCAAGATCCGATTCTTGTATCGAGAAAACTCCAACGTTTGTAAGACCTCTAAAAGTCCCTTCCTTGAGCGCTGGCAGGTCCATAAAGGCCAATTTTAAAAACCCGACAGTGTCTAAACCGTTAAAAGCGTCCGGTTCTAAAATGCGCACTCCCGACGGAAAATTCAACCTTTCAACATTCGTTAAACCGCAAAACGCGTTACTTTCAATCTTGATTATGGGGTTATTAGTCAGCACCAACAGCCTCAAGTTCGAAGTGCCGGCGAACGCATATCCCTCCACTTTCTTGATTTTGTTGTGGCTTAAGTAGATGGAGGTGATGTTCTGTAAACCGGCGAAGGCGAACTGGGCCACCGTGGCTAGCGGAGTTTGCTATAAAACAAAACAGGAAGAGAAACTCCATTTTTTTCTCAAAACAAAACAGTCCGTAAAGTGGTACTTTACCCACCTGTATCGACAATTCTCTAAGTCGCGGAAGTCCCCTGAAGGCGAACGGTTTAATGATTGATATGTTGTTGCCGTCTAAAGAGAGCTTCCGCAGATATCGCAACCCTGCAAAGGCATCGCTTTTAATGACGGGGAAGTGGTTTCTCGTTAGTGAAAGGTGCTCCACGGTCGAGGGTAGCAGTTTCACAGGAATCTCTCGTAATCCGCCCGAATTACACAGAACCTGAAACAAAAAATCAAATTAAGAGCCGAGTTATAGAGGGTCTGGGCCAGAAGTCAATTGGGGTTTCTCTCGGCTGGACTTATCAGTGGCGTTTTTGCGGTAACGATGTGTAAAAATATTTTTTGGTTTATTCGCGTCGACGTTCCATTAAATATTTATGACGGGTTTCGTGTCAAATATAATGAGAATGGATGCTTTGCCATGTATTGCGGATTAACCAGGTCTATGCAAGTTTAACAACCGACGCCACTGAAACGCGTTCATCAATAAGTCAACAAAGCGGAGGCGATTGAAAATTAACTGTTTTACATCAGTTTCGCACAAAAAATGCATATGAAAAACTGAAATAAGCCATTTTCGACTAATTTTTAAAACATTGGAGCTGTTTCACGGACAGGAACATGAATTTCTACTTTAGATTAAAATAAAAACAAATTTTAGCATTTTGTGCTAAACACTTACGATTCAAATTATTTTACGATTTAATGAGAAATCATACTCGATACACATATTCAAAATGAAATTGTGAATTTATTTTCCCAATAGCTACCTGTTTGTTTATTTTTCGAAACAAATACTGAATTTTCACCAACTTTGTCAGATCACAGTAATTTGATCCTTATTTGCAACGCGTTTGAACAGTAAAAACAAATCTAAAAAATTTACCAATTTTTCGTTTTTGCTTTAAGAATTGTTAAAAACTCATTTTTCTTTTCGGATTTTTTTATTTTGACATAAGAAATTACTTCTTGAAATCTTTAAACTTTTCTCCGAACAATTAGTAAGGTAGTTAGAAATAAAAAAGTCCAAAAAGGAACAATTACTTTATACTTCATTAATACTTCATATAATTGCTAATTTTGGCAAACTTACCTGTGTTTGTGATAGACAGATACATTCTGGAGGACAAGAAGGAGGCAGTATCATGTTGAGTGCAGCAAAATGAATGATGAACGCAAGGGCCAAAAGAAAACTAGTCAGCGAGTGTCGGGCCACTAGCATCTAAAATAAAAATATTTATTGTTACAACTTACTCAACTTTATTGTTCTTAAATAATTAATTAACTTAAGTAAGCAGATTTTAATAATTACACTAGCCAAAAAGCATTTTGTGACTGAGAAGAAAACAGTTATTTTTTGTTCAATTCTATGTGCTAAACTCAAAACTGATAAAGAAAATTCCATAGCACGTCAGATTTTAAAGTTAGGCATTTTAAGATATCATATGTATGTGGGATCCAGGTATGATGGGGGATTACTGCTAGTTCCTGATAAGGGAAGTTAAAACACCCTACAAAAAAAAGTGAGCTTTTGCAAAAAATTTATCTACAACGGATTTATGTTAGAATCTTATACATCTTTCAACATTGTTCTTGTTTAGTGAATAAATTAATTTCTTTCGTCGTCTATTTAATTAATTTCCATTTGAAATGAACAATTTTTACGATAAAATTTGAGAAAACTATTTTCCTGTAACTTAAAATCTGTACGTGATGGAGAATTTTTCTTATCAAATTCGTAATTAGGGATGTCAATGTACACGTGTCACACATTAAAAAAAAATTGTTGGGTAGTGTTAGTGAATTAAAAGCTTCCGCTGTGCGTTGAGCTGTAAACTTTTTTTCGGCAGTGCTTAGTTTCAACCCTTTTATAGTATTTTGTGCGCTATTACATTTCTAGAGACTCCAAAAAAATGCACGAAACAAATTACAAATTTCTTGAGTTTTTAAAGGCGAATTCGGTAGTAAATCGTAAAAATGATCGATCAATTTTAAATCGCAAAAACGTTAAAAATATAAGATTTAAAAATAATGTGTAATGGCAAATAAACCAAAAACATAAATAATAGTATATTATTCAACAAGTGAGAAAGTTAGATATTTCCACGAAGATAAAATTTGCAATACGACCCGAAAGCGAATGGAGTAATTCATCTGAGTAGAAATGGCCATTTTTTACAAGTTCAATACTATATGTACTTTTGCTAATCTTAAATATTGATAAATATTAAATACTTTTTCCACACTTTTCAAGTTTCTCCTCAGTTGAAGATTGAATAACTTTCTCAATTAAAAACGGTTGAAAAAATTACAAATTCTTTAGCATAATTAGACGTAAATGTAAAAATGTCACGTCTAGGTTTTTAAAATTTCTTGGAAATGATGAACATGTATTAGATATTTATATACAGTGATAGGATAGGTAAAACGACTCTTGTAAAAGATAAAAAATTCTCGATTTAAATTTTTTGGGATTCAGCCCTGCTTAGTTGAAGACTTAATTTCTAACATAATTTTAGTTCTAAAAAATCAAGTATGCCGTAAAAATTTTCAAAAAAAAACTATTTTTCTGCAGAGTAAGTGTCTTTTGTATGATAAAGACGATAAAAAGTTATTAAAAAAAGTTGTTTAGAATCAACATCTAGGCCCGTATACTAAATTTCAAAGTCATCGGCCAACTATAAATTTTCATTTTCTTTTCATGTTTATTTAAGAAGTCAAAGAATTATATTTCTAATAGTTCTATTGTTATAAGTAAAAAAATTACACTTAGATTATTACTACTAAATAAGTTTTGTTAAGTATTTGTTACTAAAAAACAACTACCTTAGAAAAAAAATGAAATTTGGTATAGCTTTTCTTAATAAATTTTTGTCTTATTTGCTACTCTTTTACAAAAGTCGTTTCACCTACCTGAAGACTGTATATAAAATTATTGCACTTATTTCATAGACACGTTGTATATTTTATCTTGATATAATGATTACTTTGACTTAAGTCTAGTAATGTAAAATTCACTTGAATAATAATTTTGTTAAAATGCAAATAAATTTTATTATAAAATATGTTGTTGTTTTTTCTTGAATCTTAGTCTTCCACTTGATCCACCAAAAAATTCCAAATCATCGCTCAACTTTTGTCAAAATACTAACCATTATAGTTTTTCTTTAGAAAGAATATTTCATAAGTGGCGACTTTAAAACAATTTTGGAGTGTTAGAAATTTGTTACGTTCAAAATTCGATATAGTGAGTAATCTCTAGCATAAATATTGAATCCGGAGAGTATCGTTTTTTTGCGGCCTCTTCGGTACAAAGTCATCCCTCATCCGCGATGTTGGAGTACGTTCGCCGTCAAGATGAGATAAAATAGAAGCATCGTGATAATCGGAGAGGAAGTGATAGGCGAGGTGATAAGGAGCTCGGGACAAGAATATGGCTCGGAAACACGTCAAATGTACCGGAAACAATGGTTGAGAAAGTGCCGAAAAGAACGAACATCGCTAGCTAAGGGCTCGAGGGCAGCCACTTTTTGCGTCTTTTATCCGCTGATTTTTTATTACGAGTTGTTTTTCTTGTCTTTTTAGAAAATTCCTAAATTACAATCGTTTTCAATTTAAAAAATTCGGTGACCCTGCACTGCACTCGAGTTAATTGTGTGTGGTTCAGGGCGATAGTTTAGTTGTAAGTTTCTCATACTTGACTTCTGCTGTGATTTATTCGGGTGATAATTACGACTATGGTCCCTTAAACATGGAAGAGACTCGAGGAACAGAGTTAAAACACATTCACCCCAACCATTAAGATTACCGGAAAAACCACTTAATTTAATTCGAGCTAGTTACGAGAATTATACTTAATTGCAGTTTTTTAATCGCCTCTACTTTGTTATAATTCACTGTAATTTAATAATTCTACTCACAGGATGATAATTAATTACTGATATTTTGCCCAATTAACTACTAATTAAGGATATGTGACTAATACGAAAATAATTAAATAGTCCATGCAATTTGGAGCTTAAATAACTATTATACTAATGGCTTGATTGACCATTTGTTTTTATTGAAAAATTAAATTATAAAACATATTTATAAAAGCAATTTCTTTTATTATGTTGTGGCTCTTGATTATTTAAGAAGGTCGTGTAAGGTGAAGATTTTTTTTTGTCAGAAAATAATAGATGATAGAAATTAAAGTGCTATAAAAATAAGGTCGTGTTTTGAGTTAAGGTTTTGTTTTTGAGTTATGCAAATTTTTTAATAAAATTAGTCCGGTCAAATTAGTCATAAAAATAGTAGTCAAATAACGAAAATTCCGACAGAGCTAAATTTTGGTGGAGACCTTGGGTAGACCATTAGAAATAAAGTGTCAAATGGCCCCATTGATTCCATGTGTGCTAAAAAAGTTATTCGGGGTCAAAGGTCAAAATTTGAGGTTTTTTAATTTTTTTTCGAAAACGGTAAGTTTTATCAAAAAAGTAGCCCAGACAAAAATTATAGATCTTAAAATTATCTACAAAAATGGTCCTTATACTTATTTTCTAAGAATCACCATTCCTGAGATATCGCGATTCTAAAAGTTGAAGGAGTAACGTTCTACATTATATGCACATACAGAGTGCGCCAGAACTCGAGCCCCAAAGACAAATACCATGTAGCGTAAGGTACCAGGAACATAGAAAAAATTAAAAAAAAATCTATCTATAAAAATTTCAAAGTTATGAGAGTTTAAATTTTGCACTTTGACTCTTATTTATTACTGTTGGAAAAATAATTTTCCAAGTTTTTTTGCTACAGGCTATTTGAAGCGGAAACAAGGAAGCTGTATCCTAAACTGTAACTCCGTTTAATTTTATTTGTGGCTTTTATTGACAAAATTTTTGTACCTTAACTAAATAATTATAAAAAACATATACAAGGTCATCAGTGTTATGAAATAGACATAATAAATGTGAAAATTTTTTGACAGATAGAATTTTTTAAACATTTTTTCAGTACTCTGGGGACTACCCAATTACTCCCTTTCAAGGAAATGCGCGATTTTTTGAACACGATGTATGTATTACCAAATAAATTCTTTTTAATTCTAATGGAATCGAGATATTTATAAGTTTAATGGTAGAAGAAAAATTTCAAGTAAGATAAGATACCAGAAACATGGAAAAAATGTTTAAAAACTTGTATCTGTCAAAAAATTTTGACATTTGATATTTTTTATGTCTATTTAATGATACTGATGATTTTGCACCAGGTGAATAAAAAGTATGGAACGAAGCGTTTTTCTCGTAAACTAACCACTTTACAAAAAAATTAATTAGTGTAGCGTAAAGTCCAATTAAAATGTGACCATTTTAACATTTTTTGAAATTTCTTTTAGTTTTCGGGTTTTAGAAAAAAAAATTTTTTAATGGCAACCCACCATGATAATTTTTTTAATTAAAGATTATGATCTAAAAATGACCTTTAATTAAATAAAATTGTTTTTTAGCCTGTACTTTTTTTTAAATTAATTGTTAAAGTTGCGTTCCGAGCTCATCACGAAGATTTTCCGAACTTAACCGAAGTGGTTGTTTCATGCTTTTCATCATGGGAGAGCGCTGATTTCTATGCAGGTGCTTTGGGGTGGTTTCGAATGGACTGAAAATAGAAGAATGATTTGTTTTTACATTTTTTGATCCATCCGGAACCTCCCCAAAGCACCTGCACCAAAAACCGGGCTCTCCAACGACCAAAGTCATGAAACGACTCCCTCGTTCAAGTTCGGAAAATCTTCGTGATGGGCTCGGAACGCAACTTTAACAATTTATTAAAAAAAAGTACTGACTAGAAAACAATTCTGTTTAATTAGAGGTTATTTTTAGATCATAATCTTTAATTAAAAAAATTACCATAGTGGGTTGCCATTTAAAAAAAAAAAAAATTTTTCCAGAACTCGAAAACTAAAAAAAAATCGAAAAATGTTATTCTTGATAAATGGTCACATTTTAATTGGACTTTATGCTACACTAATTATTTTTTTTGTAAAGTGGTTAGTTTACGAGAAAAACGCTTCGTTCCATACTTTTTATTCACCTGGTATACAGGGTTATTCATAAATATGAAGCAATATTTGAACCTCAAAAATGACCTATAAAATGATGTTAATTTAAATAATAACTCGTGTCCTATCTCTACTGATAAGAATTTTACAGCCCTCGGAATGTGGGTATGGAAATTTGATTT